GGCATGTGGAACTCTTTCAGGGACCATAGAGTGGGATAGTATTTGCCATCCCGGGTACCCCAAAATTCCCAGAGATCAAGTGGAAGAATGAGGTCCCCTTCCAGTCTCCCATTTCTTTTCCACTACTTCGACCATTGTGGACAATAAATAAACCAGTATACACATGTTCCGTGACTGAGTCCTTGGGCTCATGTGGCTAGGAGGTTTATTCAGTCTGTAAGCGGGAGAAAGGTGTATGGCTGAGCCTGTGGAAAGAGCTGCTCTCCAGGGTCACCAAGGTGTCTCTTTGAGCTTTGATCCCTCCATTACCCTCTCGGAGGGTTGTAGAATTGTTGAGCCTTGTGAGACAAGCTCAGAGCAGGAAAGGATGAAAACTTGGGCCAGGCATAGTCCAGGTACACAGGCAAGCATACTAACCCATACACGGGCCCTATACAGAAATGGAGCCATCTCTGAAATCGGTCCTCCCGATCAGGATGTTGACCACGACTGCATGGCCCTCCCGGCACAGCTGCTGGCCTTCACGAAGTACCTTGACCACTTGATCCTCATTGTCCCGTGACAGTATCAGTCCCTGGGCCCCCAGACCTATGGCTGCCTTGTGATAATCTGGAAGAAAATAAATCAGACAGTAGCAGAGGGTCCACCAAGGAGAATAACAGAAACCAAACTGGACATAAAATATTCTGACCCCTCACCAGTGTAAGCCAGGCTACAGGCCACGTCACTGCCCAACCTGGACACCTGTTCCCGAGAAATCTGGGTCCAGCCTGCATCATTCCCTATCAAGGCCATCACTGGTATCTGCAGGGAAAAAAAAAAAAAGGCCGGGCAACAGCCATCAGTCCAAAGGTCTGACAAGCCACAAGACAGGGCCTGTGGCCCACTGAGGGAAGCCCTCTCCCTCCTCCTCCTTCCTTCCTCCAGCCCCCACAGCTCACCCTGGATGACATATCCCAGAACCCATATCCCATAAGCTTCCCTCAAGACAGCCCAGTCACCTTGTGTCTCACGAATGTGTCAAACTCGATGAGGCTGTAGCCAAAGGCACCATCCCCAAACAGGCACCAAACCTGGTAGGGGGGACCCAGGGCAGTTAGGGTGGTTCACAGCCCAGAAAGCAGCAAGTCTCCCACATCCAGTGCCTCACCTCGGCATCCGGCTGACACAGCTTAGCCCCAAGTGCAAACCCTGCACCAACTCCCAGAGTCCCAAAGGCTCCTAGGAAGACAGGAGCAAATTGCTGTGAAGGGTCCATGCAGTGCAAACTGCCCCGGGTGTGGGCCTTTCCTTACCAGGATCGAGCCAGCGCAGGGGCCCTCGGGGCTGTACCAAGTAGGCAGCTGTGGCCACAAAGTCCCCACCATCAACCACAAGAAGTGCGTTGTCAGGCAGAGTTTCCTCCACCTGCTGTAACACCTGCACTGGGTTCAGGTGCTGAGACACAGGCATTGCAGCCTTGTCCCTGAAACAGAACACTGGAGGTCAGTAGGGTTGGTTGGCAATGACCTCCTCCACTCCTTACCCTTGCCACTCTACCCAGACTGACCGATAAGTCTGTTCCTTCTGCTGGTCGGCTTCCCGAAGCTCCTCTGCCCAATCTGAGGCCCACACCTGGCCCTGAAGGCCTTCCACCAGCTTCAGCATGAAGGAACCCACGTCTCCTAGAAAAGAAGAAATCACAGCTATAGGGCCAGCTGCCAGGCAGCAGCTTCCTCCTGCCCTTTTAGCACCAGAGGCCCAAACGTAACAGGACGCCACCGGCAGCATCTGAGAGGAAAGCGGGCCAGAGGCGTTCTCAGGACAAAGCTGGTAAAGCCCCTCCAAGAGCCTTTGAGAACTGGCATGACCTGATAAATGAGGTGCAGGGAAGTTGGAAACTTAAGCTGGCCTCACTGTCTTCCTGCCCCTCATAACCCAGAGGCACCAAGTACTGTGAAGTCTGCCTCCAAAATATGTCACCCACCAAGGAAGTCTTCCAAGCCCAAGCATATGGGCTTTCCTGGTGTTTTTTTATTTCATTGTTTACTTTGTGTTACTTTGTGTTTTGAGACAGGGTTTCTCTATGTAGCACTGGCTGGCCTCGAACTCTCTATGTAGAACAGGTTGGCCTTAAACTCAGAAATCTACCTGCCTCTGCCTCCTTAGTGGGAGGCCCGTGCCACCAAACTTACCACCCCACCCCACTCAGGCTTTTTTTTTGGGGGGGGGGGGTCAAGATATCACACTGCAGCCTAGGCTAGCCTTAAACTCACTATTCACCAAGGATTTGGCTCAAACTCTCAGTGGTTCTTCTGATTCCATGTTGGAATTACAAGTGTGCACCACCATCACTGTCTGTAGTGGCACATTTTAATCCCTGTACTTGGTGGACAGAGGCAGGCACGGCTCTGTGAGTTCCAAGACAGCTAGAGCTACACAGTGAGAGCCTGTTTCCAAACAAAGAAAACCTAAGTGTGTACTATCACAGGTGACGCTGGAGTTCTTTTATTTTGACATAGATCTCGCTAAGTAAGGCCTCAAACAGGTAATCTGGTCTCTGTTCCCTCACCTCCCTGCCACCAAGTAGCTGGACTCACAGGCATGCAGCATCATCCCCTGAATGTCTAGCTCCTTCTATCAGGCCCTCCCTGCCCAGCCTGCCACCTTCCCGCGCTGCTCATCAACTTCTGGGAGGGACCGTCCCTAACACACAGGGTGGAATCAATTCTCTGGTTAAATCCTAAAGGACCCTGTTCCCTACAAGAGAGTCTATGTCCTTAAAATAGTGGTCAGGGTATGGCATGGAAAGCCGACAAAAATCAGGAGGGTTAGAATAACAGAGAGGCTGAGGGGTCATGGGCCAGCCGAAAGCAGCAGCAGGCAGCATACAGGAGTTGATAACATGCAAAATCCCAAACCTCCCTCTGCACCCACCTTCCCTCCGTTCCTTCAGAAGCACCAATCAGTCTGCAAGCCAAATGTGTCTCAGGTTGCCCAAGTGTCCCCTGGTGCAGGGGCCAGACCTGACATTCAGTTGAAGTTTCAACAGAGGCCAGATGAAAGACGCCATGCATGGTAGGGACCCCTGGGGTATGCTCACCCTGCACAGCCTCCTGGGGCTTCCAGAAGATGTCTGAATTGAGCAACATATCATCCCGGTTCCGATTGACAATGATGATTTTGCTCTTGCGGCTGAGAACACGACCGTAAGACAGGCGGAAATCACATACAGCTCCTGGGGTGACAGGCAGGGTGTCAGTGGGCACTACCTCACTCCTGATCCATTGTGGCACACTGAATGTAGGGCAGCCCCCCTTCCTCACATCTGTACCACTTGCAGGAACCTTACAGATGTT